CAAACAGATTGGCAAGCCTAAAATCCATACTATTAATATTAATAATTAATCATTAGTAATATTATTAATTAATTAAACTTAAAATAAATTAAAAATTAAATTAATAAATTAAATTCCCATATTATCCAAATTAATATTATCACTGCACCCTAAATCAGGCTACACAACACGACTGATGAACTCAACAAAAGGTCAGTCCGCTTCTTCCAGAGCTGAGACTGGCCCCTAGCATATATTTAATTTACAGGGTCTGTTCATTTCATGTGTTATGTTTTATTGAAAGGAAAGACATTGATCTGAGACTTGCAAAAGATGCCACAACAAGACAACCTGTCAGGTTCCAACAGCACAGGCTCTGATCCATCAGTGTTCTTCCTGACAGGCATCCCGGGGCTGGAATCTCTGCACCTCTGGATCTCCATCCCCTTCTGCTCGATGTTCACCGTGGCCCTTCTAGGAAACTGCACCCTCTTGTATGTTATCAAGACAGAGCCCTCCCTACACAAGCCCATGTTCTATTTCCTCACCATGCTGGCCGTCATCGACCTGGTTTTATCCACAACCACCGTGCCGAAAATACTGAGCATCTTCTGGTTTAATTCCAGGGAGATCAGCTTTAACGGCTGCCTGGTGCAGATGTTTTTCCTTCACTCGTTCTTCATCATGCAGACTGCTCTGCTGCTGGCCATGGCCTTCGACAGGTACGTGGCCATCTGCAACCCCCTGCGCTACGCCACCATCCTGACCAACTCAGTGATAGCAAAGATCGGGCTGGCGGCTTTGGCCCGGGCTGTTCTGCTAATGGTCCCTCTGCCCTTCCTCCTCAGGAGGCTGCCCTACTGCGGGTCACACATCATCTCCCATTGCTACTGTGAGCACATGGCCGTGGTGAAGCTGGCCTGTGCTGACACCAGGTTTAGTAACGTCTATGGGATCATCGTAACTCTCTTCATCGTGGGGCTGGATCTGATATTCATCTTCCTATCGTATGTCAAGCTCCTAAGGGCTGTCTTAAGCCTGGCATCCAAGGAAGAGAAACTCAAGGCTTTCGGCACCTGTGG